GCAGAGGTGTACATTATGCCACTGTACAATGTAACACCCACTTTTCACTATTTATGTTATGAGTCCCATTAATAGGGGGTGAGCCTATTGCCATATACCGGGCACAATTCCAGACTTCATGCTACTACTGAGAATTTATAAAAACCCATTAGTACTTTGCCCGACCCGGGAATCGAACCTGAGACCCCTTGACCGGCAGTCGCACTTGCGACCACTTGGCCAACGAGCCAGTCAAAATTTTCATGTACTACTTTAATCATTATTTAATTTCAATTTGATTATTAACTGATCTATTTATTTCTGTCACTATTCAATAATAGTCACAAGTCACAATAGTCATAACTACTTAGATGCGTGCTTATATTGTATGCATTAGCCCAATGTATCGCAAGTTCGATTCTTGCTTCGAACAACTCTTTGTGTGATCCATAAATTCTTATTCCGGGTCTGAGTGTCATGAGTATGTGTAAATGCACCCTATTATAAAAAAGCAGAACTAAGCCTAGCGTGCGGCTAACCATTAGGTTAAAGCAAATACAAACAATGGAAAACTAGCTTTGCTTATCCCGGGAACGAACTAGTCACTCTTACTCAAGAGTGAGAGTGTCACTTACAAGTGAGAGTGACAAGTCCGTACACATAACAGTACGCTGTTAGATGTATTCCATGTCATAGCTATTCACCAGGATAGTACTGTCCAGTGCTCTAGTATTCAACACAATCACTTGATATCTAAACCTGGTCGTGATCTTTAAGCAGATTGAATGTAAAACGCGCAGACGTCGAATACTGAACGACTTTCTACATAGAATGAAGCTAATGTTAAATGTGTTTCATGTTTCTATGTCCGTTACAATTACTTTAATGTGACTCTCACTTTTTTGTTAAAAACTATTTTTTTTTGTTTGGTTAAAAAAAACGTTGCCCCTCATTAGGATTTTCTCCTGTGTCGTGGGTGCGTTTACAAACATACAATTTCACATACATATGACGCCCAGACCCGAAACAATAATTTGTGGGTCACATAAAGTGTTGTTCCGTGCGGGAATCGAACCTGCGGCACGCTGCACGGTAGCTAGTTGCCCAGCCACCGCACCAACCCTGCAATTGTCTTATGTTTATGTTTGACGTGATTAACGCTCGAATACTGAAAGGCTACTCAATTTTAAGTCGTACTTATATATCTTGCAATCTCTGTTATTTTACAATGAATTTGTAGGGACAGAACTATACTTAAACGCGACTTAAAGTTGAGAGTCGTTTGAGTATTTGGACCAAAGGGCCTGTTTATGATGTGGTCACGATCTTATATTGTCTTTGTTGTTGATGTCCAGTGGTTTCAAGTACAATTGCTGCTCCGGCCGAATACATACATACATACATAATTTCACGCCTGTCTCCCATGGCGGTAGGCAGAGACTATGAACGCCAGTTACTACGATTCCTACATACTTTATCAACAGTCATCAATCTTTTCATGCATGCTTGTCGGTTAAGGGTACTTTTAATTTGGCCCTTCTTTAATATATCGCCAATCTGGCCTGTATATATCCGGCCGATTATTACAGTTTTATGAAGATTCTTAACAAGGCGCTTCACTACTATGGTATTACTATTGGTATTGGTATTTTGATGATTTCATGTATAGAAAGATATTTACGCGTATTTCCCAACATCCCTACTGTTTCTCAATTTAGCTGCATGTTAGCTACTACAACTCAAATAATTATATCATCACATGAGAATATACTTAATTTAAGTTTATCATGTAGATTTGATTAGTGGGTGATTCTATTTTCTATTTCTGCTGATCCATTTAGTGAAACAAATTGGCATTCAAAGTATTATTAGGAATTGTGTCAGGTATTTTAAAGATTTGCTGACATTATTTGAGAATGTTGTTTTTTAAATACAGTCTGTATATTTTGATGACTATAGTAGAATTTTGTTTAAGAAGTAAAAGTTACGTTACTTTTTCAATAAAGCATTTCAGCGATTTATTAAATTATCTGTTGTACTAAGTAGTACATATGTAATTAAAAGGTTGAAAATTATAAATAGGTAAACTAACAATTTTTATGTCTGTTTTTTTTTAAATATTGTTTTGGTAGTGGATACTTTCGATTTCGCCATTTTTTTATGAGATAAGCCGGTAAACAAGTAGACGAATCACTTGATGGTAAGCAATCGGCGCCGACCATGGACATCTGAAACACCAGAGGCGTTACAAGTGCGTTACGGGCGTTTGGGAATTTTAGGATTGTGAGGGATTGGGGGATTGAGGATTGACCTCACTCACACGACGAAATACAACGCAAGCGTTGATTCACGTCGGTTTTCTGAGAGGCCGATTTTATTAACTCAATAATTAAAATAAATTAGGCACTTTATCAGTCCATCAACGAAAGCATAATATTTAACTTTATTTATTGGATTCATACGTCAATAAGATCTATTTACTTACGGTCGAACAAACATATTACTTTCTTTATTCAATACACGTAATTAGATACAGTGCAAACGTACAAAGGCATAATAAACTGCATAATAACAGATGTGTCCACAGTTATTCAATTTAAAAAACATATGCAACAATCATACAATGATAATCAAATACGTGCCATAATGCAAATAACATTGCCATTTAATCAATACCTTTGAATAAATTGAATAATACGCCATCTATGCAAACACTTATGCAAATTACAAGCTGCTAGTATCGATAAATAACAATAAAAGCAGTTGATAAAAAGAATCGATTGTTTAAAATTTAAATAAAAAAAATGCTTAATAAATTATAAGTTATTGTTGACAATAAATGAAAGGAGGCCATTGCTGTAGGGATTGAGAACTGTGTAATCATTTTTTTTTCTATAAATTCTTTGTTTTCTATGTATGAGGGCTTCTATACCTAACTTGTTACTCATAATATTAAAACTGGCTCATCCCAAACATGACCATTACATAATACTTTGTAGAAAATATTTTACCAAAACCAACTATGCAAAACCTAAATGCAGCGAAACAAACAAAAAGAAACTCTCCAGCGTTATAATAGCAGTTATTATTATATGGCAACAAACAAACAGAAGTTGTAACCTTAAACATAACTCGAGCAAACTACAGAATACGCAAAGCAATGAACTTTGTTCTCAACGTTAGGCGTCATGTTTCCAAAATGTTCTATTTTGCATGCGTTACACATGACACCGCTAACTCGCAAGTTTTGCAATCATAGCATAACCTATCTACCGACAATGTATTGAGCAATCCACTATTATTTAGACATCTATAGGTACACTTTTCTTTCATACGCAACGTGTTGACTTTGTAAATTATGTATTGATACGTTTGAGAATTTTTAAAAGTCAAATCTTTAGAATAAGAAATACAGGTCAAATCTGTTTGTCGCAAGTAGATACCAATTGCTGATTCAATATGGGCACAGTTTTTCATTTGTAACATAACCTGCGTAAATTGGGAACATAGTAGTATTTTGTATTTATGTACCTATGTTAAACTATTAAGACTTCAGAATTCATCTACATTGAGTTAAGTATCTCTTTCGTCTTGTTTTTGTCAAACCTGTGCGTTGTTTAAATATTTACAATCGGGTGTACATAATATTGTTTATGTATGATTTTCGGCTATTTTCCGGGTGAGACGCTCGAACGCGTACTGACTGACGTCCTCACGCAAATGCAGGACGTAGAAAGTGGAAACGCACAATAGGAAAACCAATTAGAATATATTTTGTGCAAATGTGTTTGGATGCATCGTCCGCGGTGATTAGACTAGTACTTAGACTGCTAATTAATAGGGTACATGACTAATTTTTCTTTTAATGTCCGTCTGGTAGCTTATTTCAAAACAATAGACACGTATTTTTTATTTCCTTACGGAAACAAATAGAGTCGAAGATATATTGATTTGAAGTATCGTATGACGTCACTTTTGAGTATGATTTATACTCTAAAATGACGTAGCTACCTCCGACTACTAAACTTTGATTCGTTTTATCTAAGTATTGTTTACTTATACGACAAAAAAAAAATACGTGTCTAATATTTTTTTCATTACCTAACTCTATTCTATAAGAAACAACTCTTTCTGTGATCCATATTTTAGTTCTGAGTGTAATGCTTACGCTCTGTATTTGGAAACACACTCATGACATGGTAGAAAATTCAGTCTGTAAAAAATAAAAATACAAATTTTAAGAGTAGCTACTTTTCTAATAGTGTAATTATTTCTCCGAGCGATTAACTTCGTAAGGAGGTCTACTTACTACTAACTGTAATATTATTTTTTACAAGATCTTAATAGAAAAATAATGGAGATAGCGCTCGAAGACATTATTATAAAAAATAAAAATGATAACAGTCACGACAATCATATTTCATTGTTTATCTCGTTAAAAGAGATCGTTACCGATGCGATGTAGGTCATGCTGTTGGATTACACGTTGGTTCAGTTTATTAGGTTACCTAGTTAGTGGTTACAAGTACCTACAATCTTTCTATTAAGGAAAAATCATAACCTTAGAGCTTATCTCTTCCATGAAGAACTAAATCTTGTTGTATTTTGTTACAAAAATATTTTTCTGTCCTCGAATTTCTTGTGTGTCGTCAAGTTGAAAATGAAAGATCTTAAACCTTACTTAGATAAATTAGGCAATTAAATCCACAAAAACAAGTTCTTTTAAGTAATTTTATATAGCTTTAATTTTGTTACTGTCATTAACTTGTTGTGAAGAATTTCTAGAACTGTGACGTGAAACTAATACAGGTGTTAGTTTAATCAACATTTTTCCAAATGTTTGGTTACGTGACGTGCAGCACCCTTAACGTGTTGTTATTGTTTGCAGCGTCAGCGGGTGGGCGCGCGCACGGTGGCGGCGGAGGCGGCGCGGCGCGAGCGCCCGCGATTATAAGCGGTCGCCGACGCCCGAGGATCATGCGCGCAGTCCCATCGCGCCGCGCAGCAAGACCGCGCGCATTATGCTCAACATGAAGCTAAAGGAGCGCCTTGCGCTCGCAATCAGCGCCTTCCTCGTACTCTTCACGCTGATGCTGATAGTGGACATACAAATGGACTATGGCAATTTTGCTAACAAAGTACCACTGCCCCTACACGCTCGTGTCCATTCTGGAGACCTAGAAGATAAAGGCCGGTCAGCATATATTGAATTTCGGAAGCGGTTCCTTCAAAAAAGGTTGGTGTTGTGATTTAGTGGCATTAAAAAATAAATAAAAATATGCTTTGTGTGTTGTGTGACATCTAAAGGAATGAATTTTTCGCTTTGCAAAATTCTACGAGATGGTATGTAAAGATTTTTTTACTATTTTGTATCGCAAATTTATGAATGAAAACTTCGTGTAAAATATTTACTGTAAACGTAAAGTAGACATAAATATCTTATTCTACTGATATAAATAGTGACACTGAGGTAATTTCCACACAGAGTTCTCAATCAAAATTTATCTTATCAAATATAACAATGACCCTTTGATTGCGTTCGAAGATGACTCGGGCGCAGAACATAGCTAGGTAGCTATAGATTATTTCGTTATGAGTTTTTAATGACTTAGAAATACTTTCGCGATGGCTAGGTCGAAAAAAAATTTCGTCTATGCGCTGTTACTAATTTATCATCACATTCTTATAATGAACTTATAATAGCGTGTGTACAATTTTTTTTATTCTATTTAAGTACCTATCCTTCTCTAAATAAGAACTAAAATTACACGAACAATAAAATATTTTTTGTGTTTAAGAGCATTCTATGAGTGATTTATGCGTATTGTTATCTATCGTTATCACAATGTTTATTCGTTTGACAGTGTCTTTTTAGATAACACTCAGACAGTACATTGCTTACTGTTGACAAGATATTTAAAAATTTGATCCATGAAACTAGATTGATATAGTAAGCGTGACAGAGGCCGTTTGACCCAATATTTTGAAGAGTAATAATAATTTAATCGATTAATCGATTTGGTGATTCGATTATGCGAGTCGGTGTAATCGATTAAGTATAACTGTACCTCTTTGGAGATGTAACAGGGAAATATAAATCAATACAAACATTTGTTATGTCAACAGACAAAATCTATGTTATCAAGTAAATATAACGTGTTAGGTATGTGTCATTATTATAGTGTTGTATCTGCAAATATGTTAAGATGTTAAAGCATTCTCAGAAATATGGCTGTACTGGTATTTATAAAAAAAATGCCTCGTCTATGTGTCTCGTTGATCGTGTAATCCCAAGCGCAACTATTGAGCAAGGGGTGTCGGATTCGATTCCTAAATATGTTATTGCTACCTACTATTCGCGTAGAAGTTTTCATACACTGAATTAATATATAATATTCGCAACAAGATATCGGCCAAAAAGCAGTTGTAACAATAAAAATATCTTATTTTTAGAAACGGTATGTACTGCTCTGTTTTTTTAAAACTGTTCGAAATAAAAAAACAGCCTTAACAATACCCTTGAACCGTATTCAGAGACCGTAAAATTCTTAAACAACCTTAAAAAAGTCCTTAAAATTCCAAAATCAGACATTCCTACTTTTACATAGGAAATAATTAAGTTATCAAGGAATTTGAATTAAAATATTCAGTGCACATTCTTAATGTAAGTTATTTTACTCAAGTTTTCCGATTAAATAAATGAATCATCTATCTACGTACCAACTTTGTAACTATGTACTTATATAGACAGACATAGCTTTGTTTACCATAGAATTGTTTATTTATATATTTATTTCATTGCAGAACAGATACCTTTATACATACAATAGGACTTTTTGCCTTAAAACAGGTGTAGTGGTTTACCTGTAAACGAACTATTTAGTTAATTTTAAATAGTTAATAGTTAATAGTTCTTTCAAAACGTATTATACATATAATATAACACCCATCTAACAGCACAAGTGAACTGAGTAAATTTGCTTTGCTATTTTGTAGCCTATTTAAATTGAAATAGGTTACAAAATAGAACTTTATACATCAAATACAAAAACATTTTGACACGTCAATTTACAAAACAAATCGAGATGAGATCTACATTTCCTAACTGACTACTCTGAGAAGAAAGTCTGGCTGGCTGAATGACGCTTTATTTGAAGTCTGAATATTTGTCTGGACAAATATATATAGAAAATGATGTTGTCAGTTCCATATAATAGTGGGCAATATCGGGTACAATTTTAGTAGAAACCTAAAGAACTACAATACCACTTTACACTACCACGCAATTGAACCCGTGACACTTTGCTATGGCTTGCTATACATTTACAAGTTTTCAACCAATGAGACTGTTTCAAATAACATACAATAATAGGGAAAATGGGATATACCTCTAGATATATGTATCTACTTTTCCCTGTCTATTCATAATATCTTTCTACATCATATCATAGTATAGACGTCAGCAGGTCAATATACACTAATATTTTTTTAATTTTCTTACATACATAATATAACATCAGGCCTTTTATCCCCAAAGGAGTTGGCAGAGGTGCATATTATGCCACTGTACAATGTAACACCCAATTTTCACTATTTATCTTATGAGTCCCATGTAATAGTGTTACATTGTAAAGTGGCATTAAGTGCCGTAACATGCACCTCTGCCTGCCCCTTCGGGATAAAAGGCATGATGTTATGTTATGATGATAATATTACATTCTTTCATATAAAAACATAAAAAGTACAGCTACCAAGGGAGAATTAGTATTCTCATATTTCTCATTATAATTAAAACTATTCTTATTACTATTAATTAATTAATAATAAAATGTAATTTTCCTGGAATCGATAGTACATTGCTGATTACATTCGAGATAATATTGTTACTTTGTTTGTGTGAGTTAGACTTTAGAAAATATATTAATACACACAGCTATAACTAGTAGAAAAGATTTCGATTGAAGTACTTTTTGATACAATAATTAATTCTAGTGCCAATTAATTATTATGCTTTTCGGCTTACTCATATAATTATTTTACGAGGAACTCGACTGGTTTCCAGCTATGTTAGAGGCTCATATTCACGAACAGCATTAAATATATACATATTTTGTGTTTATTTTATTTAAGTTTATATTATTTGTAAATAAAAGATTCTACTGATATTCATATTATACCAATCAAGCTGAGAACTCTGGATATCCAAGTCACGTCAAGGCTAATTAGCCAGTCAATAAATAAATTGCAAAATATTATTCCACAAATACCACGCCTAGTAACTAATTATTTAATTCTCAGCCTCTAGATTAAAAACGATCATCTTTTCTAGTTCTATCTAATAGTAATAAATCTTGTCTTACTTTCTTAATTCATATTTATTACTAACGATTTCCTCTAATCAAGTATTGTGCCATTTTTATTTTAGAAACGACAAATTGTTTCTAATCGTTCATCTTTATAGAATGAGGTGAACATAATTTAAAAAACAATTGAACTCTATTATGGGTCTAGAATTTCGTTCTATGTATGCAAATTGTCGCGGAGAACCTAACGGGTAACCGGGGCTCCGGCTCGACGTGCAGGAGAAGGAACGGGGTGGTTTTTAGTCAGTAAGAGTCTGACACTAAAGCGGGAGCAGTCATTCGATTTTCCCCCCTTAAAAGAAAATGTATGCAAATTATATGACTAAGTGTGAGTCGGAGAAGCAATTGAAACATAGGCAGGTTGCTGCAGCCCCCAAACTCGTCGGAAGCTGCGGAAGAATGTCACATTCTCACCCACACCTTCGTACCCACTTGTGAGACGGGACACGGGGGTGGGTTATAGTCAGTCTAACAGTTCCTTACGTCCTCCCCAAGCGAGAGGGATCCATGAGGATTTCCCACCTTAGGGTCAAAATAAGAAAACAGTCGAAAGATTATTATAATATATGATACCTATAGCTATGACGCCTTGAATTAATACTAAGTGACTTGTAGTCAAAATCAAAATGAATCAATTATTATGAATACTTAAACCTTCCTGACTCAAAAATTCGCTTGGTATTTTTTTATGTTATTGCGTTCCTACAGATTGGTGCGAAAGTGGACTTCTTTGGTAGTATGTAAGGATTATTTTACTCTAATCTAGTTATTATGATAATGAATTGGTATTGCGCTATCAACTCCAATTAACAAATACTTTTCTCATGCATAATAATAGAAGCTCTACCGACGTAGAAAACTACCCGTAATCGGTTTTAATTTTTTACACAACTGATCTGTTTTACATACGTTTTTCCTCTAACAATATAATGTTAGATCTGTCTTCTATATTTGTCTTTAAATTTCTGAGAAACTAATATACAAAGACATTTTTTTCACAAGTGTTATCTCGTTGACCTGGCAAATTGGCTCATAAAACCCTAATATTGTTTTATCTCATAAAATTATACATATACATACATTCCTATTATACCATATAAGTATATGAGAATCGTGATAATAGTGAACTTCATTGACCTTTCCTATAATAATATCGTCGTCTACAATTATTTGTAAATACTGCTTCACTTGATAATATGACTACATTAAAGACATGACAGTAATTTGATCTAACAAATATGTTACTTTTTATTAGAAAATTGCTGAACAATATCAAATGCAATATAACATTACATTTTCCAAGTAAGTAATTTTATTTTGCATCTACATACATCCTTGGAATAATAACACACATAGTATACACTACATAGTATAAAACAAAGTCGCTATCCGTCTGCCTGTCCCTATGTATGCCTCGATCTTTAAAACTACGCAACGGATTTTGATGCGGCTTTTTTAATAGATAGAGTGATTCTTAAGGAAGGTGTATATGTATAATACATGCATTTTGCAGCCGTGCAAAGCCGGGGCGCGGGGCGAAGAAATAATAAAATAGAAAAGTAAATAAAAAACAAGTATTTTAATTGATTCATAATTTTATCGCTAAAGACATTTTTATTGATCGTACTTAATGTTATTAGCACATTTTCAGAGTATCATTATTTATGGATAACCTTCGGTGGATGATATTGTGGTCATGGCAGACTCGTTAAAAGAATCTACAATACTTAATGGCATAGACTCTGATTAGTACACCAACAGGTAAAGCTACTGTTAAATAGGCTAAATTAAATTTTAGAATGTTCATGATATAGTACTCCACCCGATATCACCTGAGATAAGTAGATCTAATTTCGAGAAGTAGGGCAATAAC